GGCGCCAGGCGCTAACTTCCGCGGCCGCCCCTGCCCGCGGCGCCTCCCCTCCGCGCGCGCATATAACCCGCCTGGGCCGCCCGTGCCCGCCGTGCACCCACTGCCGGGCCGGCTCCGGCGTCGATGCCCCCGGGCTCCGACTGCACCAGGTAGGAAGCGCCGCGAGCCCGCGCGAGGGGGCCTGGGCGTGGCGCCGCGCGGCCTGCGGGGGCCGGAGCGCGGGGCTGGGGGGCACACGGGCTCAGAAGCTAGGGGTTGCGAGGAGGGGGCGAGCGTGCAGGAGCTGGGAGAGAGGATGACGTGGGGCACCCCTCCGGGGTCCCACCGGCCCCTGGGACGCCGCGCGGGTGGCAGGGAAGTGGCCGGAGTTCAGCCCGCGAGGAGATGGGGGGAGGGGGGGCCTGCCAGCAGTGGCTCTGGGGGGAGGAACAGCGTCGCTGGGATTCCCGGAGGGCCTACCTCCAGCTGACCCCTCTCCACCCCAGCGTCTGAGGGGAGGCTCGGGGAAGAGGCCGGGTCGGAGTGCAGGTGCCGATGGAAGTTGGTGAGCGTCCCTGTGGCTGACAAGCTCCTCCCCGCCGGTGCCCTCTCGCTCCGTCTGCACCCAAGAGGGCTGTAGAAATCCGGCCGGCCGCGTTACTCCCCACTTCCCCGAGGCTGAGACCCAGTGCTCCCCTGGACCCCGGCTCTGGGCGTGACCACCAAGCCACATCCATGGGGCCAGTCACTAAAGAGCCAGGGTTCCAGAGGGACATCTCCAGGTGGTTCCGAGCTGGCCAAGGGTGCCTGGTCTGTCTTCTGAGCCTGTTTCAGGAGGAGCAGAGTCAGGCCCCCGGCCCACCCTGGGGAAGCAGCTCCTCTGCCCTGGCTCCCTCGCTCCCTACCCTCCTTCCCTCGCATCCACTGTCCTTTCAGCCTTTGGAGGGAGGGAGCTATCGTTACCTTCTTACTCAGCTTGCATTTTTGTCTGGTCCCTAACCGGTTATGCAGAAAGTGTGCACATGGCTACATAAATAGACGGGTGACAGGTAGACCATTGTCAACCAGCAAGGGACCGGGGAGACAGTGCATGGTTAACTTCTGACCGGAGGTCAATCGGTCCCAACGATTGTTTATTAAATCACTGGACATTTGGGAACCGTTAGCACAATGGTTTGGTTCTGTTTGCTCTCGTTGTTGCTGTTTATTTGTATCGACTTCATAATCACCTCTGGAAGAAGACGAGTACAGAAATGTATCGCATTCCCGGGCTGGTGTCTACTGTTAGGTCCAGCCACCCATCTTTTGATTTACCCATTAAAGATAAAAAGGCATTGCACTGAGAACAATTTGAGATTTTGCAACATGCAGATTCACGGATTGTGTGTGTGATTTTAAAAATAAGAGGCTGCGGGACTGTGCCTGCACAGCGGCCTGTCGGCCGGGGCTGCCGCAGGTGAGCTGGCCCGGCAGCTGGCACTTGTAGATTGTCCGCAGTGCTTATGCCCTACTCGCTGTCTTTCTAGTGAAGGCCATGGGGAACAGGGTCGTCTCTCCAATTTCTGAAGAGTAGCCCATGGGAAGTCCAGTCTGAGACAGAGATTAAGCAGGGGGATGTGGAAGTCAGAATGCTGGGGTTCGAATCCCCTCTCCCCAATTACAAGGCAATGCCCGTCTTTCACGAAGTGGCTCAAAAGTGATGGCGGATGGTTCCAGGTGCCGCTGCCCAGCTGGGAGAGCCAGGAGCCGGGGCGTGGGGGCAGCTCTGGGGCGGCCAGCAGGTCTCCCCTGGGAGGGAATGGAGTGGCTGGCATCCAGGCAGGAATCTGCCCAGGGCTTGGGTGGAGGCTGATGGCCCCAGTCAGGGGCACTGCCTCCAGGATGCCTCGGTTCGGGATTTATTTATAGAATATGCCCCACCCACATCTGGGAGTGGATTTGTAACATTGAGCACATGCGGAGACACAGCTAGGGTGGAGGTGGAGAGCCTGAGGACATAGGGAGAGAGGCAGACATTCACCCCCCGGGGTTCTGATACCCCGAAAGGGAACCATCTCATCTCATGGGTGGGGGGGTGGGGGGGGGCGGCATGTTCATCCACCTGGGAGACAGTTTCGAGGGGAATTTACCCTCTAGATACTTGTATGAAAGGCGTCACTAACATGAAGTAAAATAAAATAAAATAAAATAAGATGAAATATAAAATAAAATAAAATATAAAATACAGAATATAAAATATAAAATAACAATAAAATAAAACATAAAATAAAATATAAAGTATAAAATAAAAAATAAAATATAAAATAAAATTAAAAAGATAAAATAAAACATAAAATAAAATATAAAATAAAATAAAAAACATAAAATAAAATATAAAATATAAAATAAAATAGGGCGCCTGGGTGGCTCAGTCGGTTAAGTGTCCGACTTCGGCTCAGGTCATGATCTAGTGGTTCGTG